GAATTGAGATGTGGGTTTTGGATTTTTGTGTTTGTTGGAGTTGGAATCGAAGAGGTAAGGTCGGAAGGTTGGGAAGAAGGGGGCAGAAGGTGAGCGCAAAGCTGGTACGCCAATTGGGGTCGCATTTTTCCAAATGGAATTCGCGCTCTCAATAAATATAATTCGCGGATTTTGCGCGCTCTGCTCCAAAATTGCGGAATGCCACTCCAAAGCGGGAACGCTGGGCCCAAGCCCACGAATTGTGTGAGCTAAGTTTTAACCCCTGGTACAAACATCTCACTATTGGATTTTACATTGAATTGTAGCAGGGAGTTTAACCCTTCATACTTGTACAAGGGGTTTGAAACTCCTTCAACAACCCTTGGATGAGACTTCCACCGTGGGTTCATGCAAGGGTTGGCAAAACCCTTAGTACAACTTGTAGCAGGGGTTAAAACCCTTACTATAAGTAGAAAAAACCCTTGCCATAGAAATTTTTTTAGTGCGCAACAAATTTGTTGTTAACGTTTTACTTCTGCTGGAAAGACAACCATGACCCACAAATTATGAGTTTTACTGTTGGATTCCACTAGGCCACGTCTGGTTCTTCACGAGGAAAAGAATTGGTTCTACTTAGCGTTTCTCCATCCTGTCCAAATGTCACACTCTGTAGCGGCAGCTACATTTTCCTAGACCTACAAACATAGGCATAATTATATGTATTTGAAAAGTTATACTCAACCTGTTCTTAACTTGTATAAGTCACTTGACATGTTGAACATCGAATAGACGACAAAGCATAGTCAACACAGGAATAGAAGACCAACTTGTCTAACGGATTTCATCTCAACCAATATTGTCGAGATATCCTTGTGTTGTTAGGTTGTATTGCATTGCTAGCTTTGAAATATTATTTCTTTTTTGCTTACAGTTAGAGACAACATCTTTACAGGTAGCCTGTAAGAAGATCAAACTGTTGGAAATTTAGGGTTACCGATCTGGCTGAGTCGCGGACTAGGTCGCTCTCTTTAAGACGTTCGGGGCACTGCCTCGTTATTCGCACAACAGACTATTAGCTGGTCGCCTCCAGGATAAAACAACCACTCATTAAATTTGCTCTGCGGGTTTGTGCAGAAAACCGGAGCTCATTGAATCTCACTCTCTCTCGTGTTTCTGCTCTTCTGAGGTATGTTTAGAGGGTCTGGGGGGTCTGCTATTTATAGGAGCAGAAAACCCAGAATATTCCCTCTTTCTTTGGGAATAAGTCACATTTTAATTGGGGAGATAATTACTCGCATAATTAAAATATAATCTATTAAGATAATTAATCTTAATTATCTCCATAATATTCCTTTTATTAAGTATCCATCTTATTTTTGTATTATGTGAAAATACTGGATAATTAATAAGGAATTCCATTTATAGCTTTTCAAAGCTATTCATCCCAACAATCCCCCACTTGAATAGTTTTGAAACTATCTCTCAGCATTAACAATTCCATAAGATCGGGCATAAGCTAAGGTATCGCGATGATTTGAACCTTAGCGTAGTGGTTACACTTCCAATTTCATAAGGGTGACTCGTAGTCTTGAACCCTATCTCAAACAATGTAGCACACTTGATCCTTTCAATTGAGTGATATTCTCTCATAGGCCGTGCGTTTATGGCCATGCACGTTATCCCGGTTTAGTGAACGCTGTAGCAACTTTGTGCCTCCAAAGTTCCATAGGGAGCGGCCCCACTCCCACATTCACATAGGTGAGTCTATCAGAAGTACACCCAAAGTAAAGTACTTCACTCCACATAGAGTATAGATCTCATTAAGAGTTTAACTCAACCTCCAAGGCTTTGGGATTCATGCTTCACTATGCATTAACTTTTCTCAATATTACTCATGACTTGTTATTACCCATTGAACCTGTTTCTTGGGATCTCCAACCTATCAGGTAGGGTTACCATCACTTGTAATCCATGGTTCGGTAGGCATAAGTCTCATACCCTTTGTGGTATTTTGGACTTTCTCTCTAGCTACTAAGTGATCCACCCTTACTGCTCCAACTGTTAGGCACTCTCTCTTCCAGTACTGTTCTTATGACGAACTTGTCGCCTCTCACCGTTTGTTACGGTTCTATTTAGAAATTCCTATTGCAATGGATCAATACGGGTGGATACGGTCTTTCCCATAAGGGAATCTCTAGTAATGACCCTCTCAATCAACTTTATTCTTTACTAGCCATTGCTAGTTCTATCATTTATGATTCCATAGTTGATTGAGCCCGAATCGTTTACTTCTTTTTCTTAGACTGCCAAGACACAACTTTTCATAGCTTCTGGTAATCTTGGAGTCCTCTATAGGGTATTCTAGTCCGCATCACTATACCCTACCAATACAGCAAAACCTTTGATTAAAAATACCAAGGTTTTCTATTCTTTTAAGGTGTCTCATGACCCATTTCAATAGCATTTAATTGCTTCATACTATGACATCAAGTAAACCTGCCAAATAACCCACAATGTCGGGTCTCCTGTTAATCAGCTGCCTCTTGCAAACTGTCGATGCTAGTATATTCTAACTTTCTTAGTTTCTTACACCGTTTCCAGTGTTATTTAATATTTACACTAGCATCATCAACCATTTATGCAGGCATACAACTTGTATTTCTTCTAGATCTTAACTATGTAGTTAAACTGATCTAGAGGAAATCTATTTCATTGTCATAGTTACCTTGATCTCTTAGCTTACACAAGCTTCATCCAGATCATTCAAAATTCTCAAACATGGTTTTACACATCATTGATATCATGAGTCTTTATACCAAATATCAACATGTCATTCATAGTGCACGTGCCATTCTCAAACTTGTACTAAATGCACTTGTCACTTTCATTAAAACCATGAGAGAGAACCAATTTATTCATGTCATCATCTTGGAGTCTGTTTCAAATCTTACAATGATTTGTCTAACTACAGACTCCATAAGCATGGTCAGGAATAACAACCCTATAGGTTGTCCCATGTAGATATCCCTATCTAAATCACCATTCACAAAAAAGTTTTAACATTCATCTCATACATGAAAGTTATTCTACATATTGGTGAATAGATATCAAAGAAATCTACAATTTTTCCTCTTCACCTAAAGCCTTAGCTACTAGGCGATCATTATACTCATAAACTAAACCATCAGGTTTCAGTTTTCCTTTTACGAATCCATTTATTACCTTGGCTTCATTGTGAGGAGGTAATTCTCAAATATGCCAAATCTTGTTTGGTTCCACCGATATATTACCCAAGGTTTTATAACCAAGAGGCAACTCTACAAGATTCTAAGTCTTACTAGACACCACAAATTCCATTTCATTAATCATGGATTCTCCCACGAATCTGCATATTTATGGAAGTTTAAACTTCAAACAGATTTGTGGGATCTTTCTTAGGGTGTAATAACAAATTCATAACCAAAATCCTTTAGTGATTTATGGTTCATTTGTCTATTGTGAATTCATCCTCAAATTCATCACCCCCACTAGATCCATTAATTCTAATAGTAGGCAAGACACTACCCCCACTATTTCTTGATTTAAAATGGAATGACATTAATGGATTCTACGCAATCTTGAGTATTTCATTTCTTAAACTTATGTGTTCTATTATGTATAGCACTATCAATAAATCACTCTCATGATCATCTATATTGCACTGATTCTCAAACTATAAATAACGTTTTACATCAAAAGCTTGTCAAAAGCATCACATCTTTAATAAGTGCAATCAATAATAATGTGATAAAGCATTTCATATTATTCTCGTTCACCCATTTCAAAATGAATCAAATCCAAAGATTCTGATTCTCTAATCACATATTTAAGAGTCATTTCACTTTATCATCATATGCATACCTCATGACCATGACCAGTAGTGGAGTGAGCAGTACTCAACAACACTTTCTTAATAGCATATGTCTTAGTATGCATTGGTTACCAAGAGGGTACAATTCTGGTTGGTGTAAGGTCTAGTTTTGTTTGCTACTTTGATTCTTGAACCTTTTACATTTTGAAATCGCACGAATGACTCTCTTAGTACTGACAATCAGTACTTCTTCGAAAAATTAATATTGGCATACAACCTATTTCACTAGCACATTTACCATGGAATATGCATTCATATATGCATTCAAAATTACTCCATGTATACTAAGTTGTACTATAATCATTAAGCATAACACATCTCACTGTCAACCTATTCATGCATCAATTCTAGCTTCTTTTCTAGCATTCACCAGAGTTCTCAATTGTATATTCAAAGCTCTATTGAATATATTCTAATTTTATCATTCATAAATGAGTCACAAGTAAGGTTGAAATTCTTACTTCTTTCAAGAAGTCATTGTTTTCTGAATTCACAGCAAATAGCACCACCCGTAGCTTTCCTATTTCTTGAACAATTTACTGTAAGTGGGCACCTTTGGCAATAGTCCATTTGGAAAACTAGTTTGTCTTGTCCTCGTCCTTCATCTCCATGTTATGCTCAGCTCGGTGAGCTGATCCCGCACTTGATTCTCTTTATTCCATAATGAGAAGGCTGGTGTACACTCAATTTTTTCGCTACCGCAAAAGAGGACCAGCCATTGCCATCCTCCAATCATAGGGCTCGAGTGGCTAGTGCTAGAAATATAACCACCCGAGTTCATGACCAATAAGCTTGCATTAAATTGAGACTCTCAATTTTCTTCCTTCCTGCAATTAGCTAGTCCAAAGGGACCCCATATATGAGGGAATTAATTCCCCCCTTAACAAGCAGATCAGGGAAGGATTTGATTGGGAGACCATCCCTCTGTTCTTTCTTCCCGCTTATTCTTTCGCAAGGAATTAGGGGATTTGGCAGGGGGCTGCTTCCTCATGGTACAATTCTAGGAGACGACAATGGTGACTAAGCAACAAGTTTTGGGTGGTGCTACCCGTGGGATTGATGGTGGGAAACATCCGTGGCCAAAATGTACAATAGTTCTCCATTTGTCATTCTATCGCATGCACAAGTAATTAACGGAGCTTAAGCTGAACGGATGCCAGTCTGGTGCCTGCACGGAATCGACAAGGAAGCAAGAGACTTCCTCCGTAGCATCCGCCGCCTGATTTCTTTTGACAATGGCATTGATGCCAACTTCGTACATTAGCAGTATCATTGGAATTTTGAAGAAGCTGATTCTGTCCTTCGAGCGCCACACAGAAACATCGAGGTCGGCTTTAGGTACCCTGACCAGCCCGACCTCTTTTCCAATTTCCCAGGCTGAGCTCCTTGATACAAACACTGAATTGTTCTTTGAAGTCTGCGTCATTGATTTCGCTTAACTCTGCCGCTCCAATCCTCGCATCCCGATCTGATTAATTGCCCCATAAAGAATTTAATGTCTACGTTCCGAATAGCTGTAATCCAAAGAGCTTGCGTTCAAATGAATCTCCGCCGATCTCTCCTATTGCCAAATAGCCTCCGAATCGATCCGATGTTTTCCATGCCAATCGGAAAAAAAATCACGGCGGCGAAAGGAAAAAATAAACGATCCAACCAAAATCAGTATTTTGGTCGGTAAATATGACAGCAACCAAACGTCTTAAAATGGTTGGAAATCGAACAGAATTTAGAGTTACCGATCTGCCGAGTCGCGGACTAGGTCGATCTCTTTAAGACGTTCGCGACAGTGCCTCGTTATTTGCACAGCAGACTATCAGCCGGTAGCCTCCAAGATAAAACAGCCACTCATTAAATTTGCTATGCGATTAAGTGCGGAAAACTGGAGCTCATTGAATCTCACTCTCTCTCGTGTTTCTGCTCTTCTGAGGTATGTTTAGAGGGTCTGGGGGGTTTGCTATTTATAGGAGCAGAAAACCCAGACTATTCCCTCTTTCTTTGGAAATAAGTCACATTTTAATTAGGGAGATAATTACTCCCATAATTAAAATATAATCTATTAAAATAATTAATCTTAATTATCTCCATAATATTCCTTTTATTAATTATCCATCTTATTTTTGTATTTTATATTATGTGAAAATACTGGATAATTTATTAGGAATTTCATTTATAACTTTTCAAAACTATTCATCCCAACACAAACCAGGCCTGTAATCACTCAGGCAACCATCTTAGACCACAAACACGGTTTCCTTGGCAAATCCGCTAAATGAACCCAAACGAAATGGGAGACACGGAGTCAAAGATCAAAGGGATCTTAGTTCAACTACTAGAGAAGATGTGCTTACAACACTTGCATTATGATTTCCGTAATTTTCATAATATACAGATTGATGTAAGGTTATTGTAATATTACATGAGAGGAGAAAGCACACCTTCATTCCAAGAGAAGCAGGATGCCATTCTGCTAGGCCATTTTCTGTCAGAAGTTCCATCAGAAGTAGGAAGCAGTGATTATGCCTACACCTTTGCCCTTTAAGTAAGGAAGTAAATCTACCAGAGCTGAATCATTAATATTTTAGTGGCAATACAACATGACTACGTCAACTGAACCCTGTGGCACTCGATCAAGCACATATGTAAAGACTTGTAGTGGAAGTCCAGTTATCTCAATGAAACCGATCTTCCCAACATCCTTAAGTTCTTGAAGGGAAGAGATTGTCTATTTTACAGCCTGCCATTAAAAACCATGTCAACTCAAAACCACCAAGGTTTGCTTAATACATATAGGGTTTCCATTGTATAAGATAACTAGTTCAGTTATGAAGGAGCAGCAGCTAGCAGTAGCAGATATGAACTGTTGACCTGATCAAGAGACCCAAACTCAATGTTATGGCAGTGCGGTATATCAACATAATCCACCAGCAACCTTGCCAAACTCTCGTCGATGCTCCTTGTCAGCCTCAGCTCCAGAGTCCAGGCTCCATACCCTACTACATAAAACAACATAGCAATTGCAGTTCCTATTCTTCTGAAAGTATCTTAATCTCTCTCAACGTACTTTTAGCTGTAAATAGAAACCACCAAATAAAAGCGGAATCAACCTGTGATTTATATTTTTTACATGGAGCCTCATGATATTAACACTCAAAAGCACTTCACAACATTCGAAGATAAGCTTAGTAGTGGAGAACAGAAAGAGAAGAGGGACAGGAAGGGAAGCATACAAAGAGGTATCGAAGAAATTAATGGTGAGGAGGAAGGCCTCGCGAACGTTGGCATGGGTGTCCTGCTCCAAAATTAGGCTGACGGTATTGCCAAGAGGAGAAGCTTCGAAGCCGAAGCAGCTGAGCTTCAGTCCTGTGTTACCCAGAAGTAGGAGCTTCAGACTCGAGAAGCCATTACTATTACAGATTCGTCTACCCTTTGTCGTAATTTGCTTCGTCCACCCTTTGTCACAATTTCTGTTAGAAACCGAACATGAAAAATTAGGGTTATCGATTTGGCTGAGTCGCGGACTAAGTCGCTCTCTTTAAGACGTAGGCGGCACTGCCTCGTAATGCGCACACCAGACTATCAGCCGGTCACCACAGGATAAAACAACCACTCTGATTTTGTTGCTAATCGGTTTTGTGCGAAAACCGGAGCTCTATGAACTCACTCTCTCTCATGTTTTTCCTCTTCTCGAGATGTGCTTAGAGGGTCTGGGGAGTGGGGAGTGCTCTATTTATAGGAGCAAAACCCTAGAATATGCCCTCTTTCGTGGGGAATAAGTCGCACTTAATTAGGAAGATAATTACTCCCATAATTAAAATACGTTCTATTAAGATAATTAACTCTAATTATATTCGTAATATTCCTTTCATTCATTATCCTTCTTATTTTCGTATATGGAAATATATTGGATAATTAATTAGAAATTTCATTTATAGTTTTTCAAAACTATTCATCCCAACAATTTCTGCTTACAATTACTGACAGGGTGAGGTTGGAGGCCACATTCCACTAACTGATTTGGAGGGTTGAAATTGATTGTTTTTGAGAAATGCTTAGATAAGAAAAAAAGTGAAAGACCCAAATACCTTTCTAGTGGGCAGGTTCCACAAATTAATTGATATTCAAATTTTAATGTTCACTCACCTTTTTTTCTTCTTCTTCCCTCCTGTACTTCTCTGGCGCTTTTGTATACTTATTTGACACTTATAAATACATATTCATTTGTGTGAAATATTTGTTTGTCTCAGAGATAAAAATATTTGTTGGACATTTTTGAATACAGTTTGGCCCATTGGAATACTTGTTCGATGCCTTTGAATACTTCTTTAGTGCTTTGAATACTTATCCCACGCCTATGAATACGTATTGATAGGCGTCAAACAAGTATTTAAAAGTAGTCAAAAAGTATTCAAAGGCGCTGATAAATATTTGAAATTGTCTTTCTAGTATTCTCATATATGAGACCAAATAATATTCTACACAAATGAACGCGTATTTAAAAGTGTCGAACTAGATAAAGGAGGAAGTAATAAAGGGAGGGGATGAATTTTTTCTCACTCTTTCTATATCGCTTTATATAAAGAATAGGAATAAGGGGGAATTAAGGAAAGTTAGACATAGGGATGACAATTTAAACTTAGCTCGTCGGGTATTGCCAGACCTGCCACATGATGGAGCATGTATTACCCAAGCTACAGTAGCGTGAGAAAAGGGCATGTGTATCTAATTCCGACGCGTCCTGCCCCGCCCCGTCGCCCATCCTTCTATGAGAGAGAGTGGGCTTGGGGCTTGTGCTATTGGGTAGGAGTTAGGGGTGGCTATTTTATATTAGTGTAGGTTGGCACTTGCATTGTGAGGGAGAGTGGGCTTCGACAGAAGTTTGTGTTGGAGGCCACATCTCACTAATTGATTTGGAGGGCTGAGATTGGTTGGTTTTGAGAAGGGCTTAGGTGAGAGAAAAGTAAAGGAGTCAAGTACATTTGGGGAGCAGGTCCCACAATTTAATTGGCATTTAATGCTCAGTCATCTTTCTCGTTCATTTTTTTCTTGGTCTCAAAGTTGAGAATATCTTCTAACTCCCTTTACTTTTCATTTCCTCAGCGCAGGCACGCAGAACAATAGATGCAGTTTATCACAGCGTTGCCCCATTTTGTTGACCCTTCCCCTTCAAATTTCAATCCAATTGTGCCGCACCGACTACCATCAACCATCATTGACTCCAAAGGCCCGTGCCACTCACTATCGCTACACTACCTACCTCTTGTCTCTCTCTATTGTCGACACATCACTGAATTTTCGATGCCCTCTCTACAATTCAGTCTGTTCCAGATTTATCATCCCATCTGACCTATAATTACGTTTCATAAATATGTGGATCATACCAAAATTATGTGAAATCATACCACAACTTTGTGATGAAGCATCTCAGAAAGACAAGAAATTACACCCTAAATCTAACAAAGAAAACTATAAACGCTATAAAGTTCACCGAAATAGATTCATAGTTCTTATAAATAAAATAAATTTTCTTTCTTTATGGGGTTTGATTGCTAGGTGACAAAAATTTTCGATAGTCTTTCCCTTTTCCGTGGTGTTGATAGCTATTACCATTAGTTTCCACGAAGAAATTTTGGTAATGAATGCATCTCCAGGATTTGCTAATGCAGCAGAATCAGTGGATGGAGTGTGAAGCTTGCTCAAGACCTGTATGGTTGAATCCTTTGGCAAAAACCAAGCACCGAAGACAAACAGAAGAGAGGAATCAGCTTGGAAGGAAATGGGGTAGTGGGTTTGACCGAGATGGTAAGTGCTGCTACGAGCAACACTTACCAAAATACCATCAATAATTTATGAGTGAGTATATAAAGGGAGGATGAAGTCGCCGCCCTTTCTCCACATGTGATAAGTTGACCAACCAACTAAAAAAAGCCTCAAAGGAGTCAAAGAATGGACTAGTGGCATACCTGTTTGTTGTGAAGCATGTGGAGATGAAGGTCATGAAGGTGTCCACTGCTATAGCCATGGAGGGAAGGACATATGTTGATGGTGGTACACATAATTGCTACCACCCTCATGCAGGTGTTGTCAATCGTTTGCAAGGATTACCTAACTACCCAATTCTAAGCCAAATATAACTCAGAATGACATTGCTAGTATAGTGGCTACCAAGGTCATATTCCACAGGATTTGAAACCCTAGGTTACTTCTCACTTCATTGTTATCTAGTCATCCAGTTTAGATTTAGGGTTGGAGATTGATTGCACCTGTGTGATCGAGTTTAAATTTATAGTGGATGCACACTCTCTATTCAATCCTAAGTAAGCCAAACATAACCTAGATAGGGTTGTAGTAAAGTGTCCCGGTCGTATTACAAGGGAACCCTAAGCTTATTATTACTTTGCTCTGAACTACTACCTAATTGAATCGGAG